TGAGGGAGTGGGTTTAATGTTGTTCCATTTTCCATTTGTCCCACTGGCCCAGCAGCGAATGCGCCTAAGCAGGAACCAGGCACTGGAGATGCTCCTCCTGCAGGCGAGGAGGAGGAAAAGAAGAAACAGAAGAGAGGTGCGTAAATGTCAGAGGGAAAAGGAATCAGAATCTACTGGTTCATGATTCACTGCTATAGTGCATCAAATTTCCTACATATAAAGTAATGGAATAAGTATGAGACCTGCCTTGTTTAAGGTTTATTTACACTCTGAGACCTCATAGGTTCATTTTAAGACACGGGTCTGATAAACTTGAGTCTACTGATTCCAGTAAGTCTTTAGGATTCAAATGATAGCTAAGGATTGATTGCTTCATGTTGTCTGCATTTCACTTTTTATCAGTGCTTTAATTGTGTGCGACTTAACACTGCATGAGTTTAAATCCGGTTCATTATAATTGACCTTTTAAGGTGGAAGAGGCCAGATCAAACAGAAAAAGAAGACTGTGCCTCAGAAAGTTACAATAGCAAAGATCCCAAGAGCCAAGAAGAAATACGTCACACGGGTGTGTGGCCTGGCGACATTTGGTGAGAGCTCTTGTGCTGTCCTTATCCTCTAGGCTGCCTAAATCGTATTCCCTTCGTGTTTTATTCTTAACATGGATCTCTGGTTTGACTCTTGCAGACATCGACCTTAAAGAGGCTCAGCGATTCTTTGCCCAGAAATTCTCTTGTGGTGCCTCGGTTACAGCAGAGGATGAAATAATCATTCAGGGAGATTTTACAGACGATATAATTGACGTCATTCAAGAGAAGTGGCCTGAGGTAAGCTGTCCATCTCTGGAGAAAACCAGGGTGTGCTGAAAAGGTTCATTCTTAACTTACTCTCTCACTGGCAATTTGTAAAAACGTAACAAAGTTCAAGTTGTTATCGGTGACACTGGCTGCCTTTAAGTGAACTGCAGTTAGCTTCCTGTTGCTTGCATGTGCAACACTGCATGCTCCAGCAAACATTTGCAAGAAGAGGGGAGACATGCATAAGAGTACTATACATTGTATAGTATGTATGTGAGGGACTGGTGTATATACTGTGTCCCTACAGTAATGTGTTTTTAAAAAATTCAATAAAAAAATAAGTGCCCCCACCCCCCTCAGTATGTTGCTGTGTTGTGGAGGAATTTTGGCACTCTCTTATTTATAACGTTCGCTCAGTTTTGAGTCATTTGTTTATGCACATCTTAAAGTGCCATCTAGGGCTGGGCAGTAAAACAATAAATGCCATAATAACTATATTGTTCTCAACAGCAGCATATGATAGTGTCAATATAAATTGGATAGAACTCATTCAATCCAAAATAATAGCACAGGACAGTGTCGTGGGTCTGTGGACGGTGTGAACAGCGGATTTTCTGAACTGCTTTTGAAAATGTCCTCTATAATCTCAAACATGACACACAGTTCAGTCTCCATGTCTCTCTGTGCGTTGTAGGTGGATGATGACAGCATTGATGATCTGGGTGAAGTCAAGAAGTGAAGACCAAATATGCACTTTTGCTGAAAGGATGTGACCTGTAACAGCGACGACCTGGCCAAATGTACACATTAAGTCATTTTATACCTGTTTTATTTACTGTACATAAAAAGCTGTGGACTCAGCCACTCACTTGGCATTTTTTTAGTTAATAGCTGCTTTCTCTCGTTTGCCAAAGGTGTGGTATGACATGAATCCTTCCCAAATGTTCTTCACTCAAGCAAAACTGTAGGCTAATAAATTTCAGTCTCCTTCACCCTTACACTCTTTCCACATTTGACTTTTTTTCTTCTAATGGTTGTGTGTCTGTTATTTTTAAAGCATTCAAAATGAGGTCTTTTTCAGGGCTCTGATATGCTGCTTTATCTTAGTTACTTAAATGGCCGCAGGTTACTTGTTTTTCATGCATCCCACTCAATACTCGTGAGTAAACCTATTCCCCTGCATAATAGTTTTATAATGAAGGTGCACTCCCCGGACAGATAACATTTACAGTTGTTTCCATGCTCCTTTGGGTCAATACCGCTTCCCCATAGATAACAGAGTGCACAGATGTTCACTCCACATAAAGATTAGTATGTTTGGCTGAGCACCTTTTGCATATGCACAAACACGATTCAGTTTCCAAAGAAATCACCTGGTGAAGCCTTTCTTTACCGACACTGTATGTTACAGCAGCCGTTTCCTCTGATGGGTCAGAAGATGAATCTCACAGTCACAGATCTCTGTTGTGCCTTCGAATCTCCCATCCTGGACCAAGTTTTGCCTCCAGTTCTCATCCTGGAGTTCATGTTTGGTCTAACGGGGAACTTTGTCGCCCTGTGGATGTTCATCTTTCACATGGACACATGGAAACCCAACGCTGTGTACCTCACTCACCTGGCAGTTGCAGACTCCATCGTGCTCTTCTGTCTGCCTTTCCGAGCAGATTACTACAGGCGTGGGAAAAACTGGCTCTACGGTGACATCCCGTGTCGCATCTTGCTCTTTTTGCTGGCAGCCAACCGCGCAGCTGGGATCTTTTTCCTCACGGCCGTGGCTGTAGATCGTTACTTCAAGATCGTCCACCCGTCGAATCGGCTCAACCAAATGGGGCTGGGCTATGCTTTCTGGGTCTCGTTTGGCCTCTGGTGCTTGATCTTCCTTGCTACGGGGTACCTTCTTGCTGATCGGCACTTTTACTACAACAACAACCGTACGCAGTGTGAAAGTTTCATCATCTGCATGGGCTTTAGTCCCCTTTCCACCTGGCATAACACTTTCTATGTTGTCCAGTTTTTCCTGCCCACTGCCATCGTGGCCTTCTGCACCATCAGAATTACATGGCAGCTGAGAATCCGGACTGTGGACAAGAAGGGGAAAATCAAACGGGCCGTTCAGTTCATCCTGGCTGTGGCTTTAATCTTTATCATCTGCTTTTTCCCCAGCACCATATCGCGTATTGCAGTGTGGGTCCTCAAGGTATGGTACAATGAATGCAAATACTTTGAAGAAGCCAACCTGGCATTCTACACGTCAGTGTGTTTGACTTACTTCAACAGTGTCCTCAACCCTGTTTTGTATTATTTCTCGAGCCCTGCCTTCAGTGGAGCCTTCAACAAGGTCCTTAACAAACTGTTGAGAAGAAGCAGCGACAAAGATGAGAAAATGTCATCAGAGAATGACATTTCCACAATAGATGATAGAAGCCTGTAAAGACAGCTGCTTGTCCCTGTTCTAATTCTGTAGGGAAACTAAGATCCACCTGAATACACAAATGCATGGTAAACTCCTGGCTATTGAAAACATTTATATTATTGTAGTTGAAATTAAATGTCAAATAGTTTTTGCTGTAATTATGAACAAAATGACTCACTATACATCTTAGTGGTGTAGTGCTTTTATTGCAATAATGCACCTGTTGTGACTTTGGATGTACTTTGTGATTATAAGCCACTTACCCGTCGTTAGTAGCTTACAATTACATTTCCCTAGTAGCTGGGCAGGTGAGTAAAGAATGAACTTAAAAGCTTGTCAAGGCAACATCTCACATAGATGCCATCAGCTCATGTATCCACGATACTTGATAAGGTTGGTTTTAATGTTTTTATTTGGCAGTTCAAGTGTAACATTGATCTTTTGGCTGCCCACTGAAATAATATTTATTGAATGAAATGGTTGTACAGCCACAGGAAAGTTTAGCTCACGTTAGTGCTAACATTAAACTATCAGGGCAAAAAGAAGATAATTTCAGCTAGTTTGAATAAAGCACTGTGTATGTAAATGCCTTTGCAAGTGTATTTCTGCTTGTATAACATTTCAGCCTGTGTACCCTGTCACATTTTGTTTTCAATAAAGAAAAAATTAAGATTACGCCTAAACACTACATAGTTCTTCTGTTCCACTTTTCAGTGTCTGAATGGAACCAAGCACATTTTGCGCACTTTTGAATGTTTTCTACTTACTATAGTATAATGTACTTTCACTAAGGTCGTGGGTTTATTTATTTTAAACAATGGCTGTCCCATAGTTAGGTGGGTGGTAAAATTAGCCTTTGAAAAGTTTCAAAAATATTTTGCTTTGTTTGAAAAAAATCTAATAAAAGTCATTTAGTTGTTGACAGTAAATTAGATATCCAAGTTATTTAGATATGTCTCTTTGGGGTTCAGGGACTGATAATATTTCTTGTTTTTTCCTCAGTTTTTACAAAAACAATCGATTGAAAACGAATCCAGTGAGCTATTCTTTTTCAGCTTTGCGCAAAGTGTAGAAAACAAAGCTATGATTCAGAGAGCTAAAGCAGCAAAATGAAGCTCTCGCATTATGCGTCAGTGACAATAGCGTACATCTACAAAAGTACATTTTTATGTCAGTACTTGCCTTTATTTTTACTGTGAGATGTTAAGAATTTTATTTCTTTTTTCTTTTCCCAGTTTAAGAAATTACATTTCAATAACTGCTGATGACATTTTATTATTAGTATTTTATGTATTTTTAGTTAGCATTTTTTAGTTAATGTAGATTCAGATAATTTCCATTGTGAGTTTCCCTATTTACTTTCAGTTTTTGTTTTATTACTCCTTGATATGTGATATTTTTAAGGGGCTAGACTGAAGTTCAGAATATCATTAAAAACAAAGAAACAAAACAACACTTTGACAGTAATGCAGATATCCCAGCCCATATTAACTCACGCAACATTGTATCTTCCTCCTTTTGGTTGTGAAAAATTTGATAAAACGGATAAAAAATATTTTCCTGATATTTGAAATGTTATTTTACCTAAGTAAATATTATTGTTTAATTCACATTTTGTATTTTTCTGAACTCTAGTTTTATTTTACGCTAACGAAAATATTAAGTTCATTTCCAGAATTAATTTTTGGCAACGATAGTAACCTTGGATCCCCAAATTTACAACTAGGCTTCACAGTTCACGAGCTTATGTTGGGGCTGTGAAGGCAGCATCATTTCCAAGAGTGACGTCAGATTGTGTGAGTCGGGGCTGGGCTGGGAAACAGTAGCTGTTGGAAAAAAACATGTAACGGTGCAAGGTACGCTGCACCTTCTCACGACATTCCTTACTGAGACCCAGTTCATCTAACGAGACAAAGTAAGCTCTCAAAGCAGCTTTTTCCCCCCACTGCTGTCTGTGTTTAGTCTGCTTTAATATCGCCTCGTTAGAGTGTTAGTTGTCTTATATTAACCACAGTTTGTGCGTTATTGCTGTTTTGAAGCTAGCTAGCTTTGGCATACCAGCAACCACCGTGGCTCTGGCTAACAGGATGCAAAATATGATTTAAAAAAAACAAGTGCCTGTTACCTCACGTAAATCACTATGATCTGCTGCTGAATGACATGCCAGTCAGTCCGCCGGTATTGGTTAAATGTGCAGGATGCCTAGTGGGAAAGTGTGGCGGGTAAAAAATCTAAGTTATCTCACTAGCTCCATAGATACAGAGAGCCCAGCCCACACAAACAACACACACCAGTCTTCTTATGTGTCTGTTATGTACACTAACGATTTCTCCCTTCATTAATTGCTCTTGTGTGATCATGCAAAACCGGAGATAATTGAATGGTCGTTAGTGAGCTGGCAGCAGAGAATGGAGAGCAGGCTGATGCATGACAGCTGTAGGTGTGCTTGTTGTGTTGGTCTGGCAACACCTGCCGGGCGGGGGAAGACCTCTGAAGTAATGTTACCTGCACAGGATTTCTCTTCAGTGTTGTGAGAAACGATTTAGTGCTCCAACTAAAAAGGTCGACCTAAATGAGTGCACCTATGATATACTTTTATTACCATGGACAGAGCAGGTACTGCTCACTGTGCCGGTTGCTACGGAGACAAGGCTGCGTTAAGTCTTTGGTGGCCCAGGAGGAAAACTGGTGCCCCGGAGTCCCATTTGATTTGAGTTAGAGTTAAACATCTGTTTTTGAGAATAATTTAACAACATTTGCCTCCATTATGAAGGTATTTTTCGAGTTCTTAAAGATTTCTTATCAGTTATATTTCTCCATGTAAATATGTCCATTGTGATGTTGTCATTTCATATAAAAAGAACATATTCTCCAGCATCTTACAAACTATAAAGTAGATGTGTCTTTCATGAAAGACACATCTTCTTTAATTAGATTTTTCTTTATAACCCAAACATCATCTTTGGAAGTTTTTAAGATACTGGATCAAATTAACACATAATCAAAAAGCTGTCTGGATTTTTCAGCGAAGATTATTCATAAAAACTTTTCACCTGTATTTTCATGTCTGTACAGATGGTGCGTGCTGGTGCTGATATTTGACTGTGACTTGAGGGGAAATCTCCCACTGGCCTCTGTTTTCTGTCTGTTCTGTTCTGCACTTAATTTAATTATAATTATTTAAAGGAGGTTTCTTGATTCATAATCCTGCTTTAAGGCAATTGAACACTGTGACTGTGGACCATTGATTTTTCAGCCGAGTTCTTGTGTACATTTTTTATGCCAACGTTTTCCTTTCCTTGAGGCTTCAGCAAAATAGATCAATGGAAGGCCCAAATGGGTCTCAGGTCCTATGTTAGGAGCTGTTTTTTTTTTTTAAGGACACTGCACAGCATGCTGAGATATGCCATGTTTTTTGGCTATAGTTCATTGGGAATAACCTTGTTATTGGGAAAAAATACTATTTTATGCCTGTCAAACTGTGTTATCTTTGGTATTTTTCATAGATTTAGCTAAAGAAATGTGAAAAAATTATGTGTTTTTGCAACTGGGTGTTAGTAACAAAGTGTCATGACAAACTATTTAAAATAGCTCTTTTGCTAAGTTGGTTCATCCCTTGACTCAGGTGTCTTTTACATACTTGAATGATTCATACGTCAGTGTTAAGTAGCTGATAGAACCAAATAAAAAACACTCCTCTGAAAATGGTCAGGTACAAAGACTGGACTGGAAATGAGTGAAAAAGCAGCCAATGTCATTGAAAGCATTGAAAGACCTGCAGAAAGCCTAGACAACTATTGCCCAAGAGCACTTCAAAAATTACAACAAAGTCTGGCTCCTTGGAAGCACAATATAGTCTATGTTTGATGTCAAACGCTAATTTTGTTATTTAGTGACTGGCGTCTAAGCTAATGCAACTCATCTCACCCTGCCCATCTCTTTGATAAGAAGATTTTGTGAACGCTTTGTTGAAACCTTTTACAAAATCGTAACATTTTGTAAAAATGTTGAGTTTTGGTTAGTGAAAGGTGAAAATCTGTCTTTTTAGGTTGGGTCATTATAGCATGTGGAAACACACATCTGAATTTGACATATAAATAAATGGTGTAAAACATGTTTTTTAATATTTAAAACGTTGTTGTCCAGAAACACTAGTCAGTAAACCTGGGGTAGATGTATGGCTGTCTGAAATAAACTATTTTACAACCAAATAAATCAACACATTTTGTCTTCCAACATCCTGAAATGAGTTTTTACCTTTAACTTCCATCCATGAACATCTAGTGCTTGGTGGCTTTAGTCTCTTAGCTTTAATGTCCAAAGACGTTCTTGTTGTAGTCAGTGTGAATCATATACCTTATGAATTAAATGGTAGCAGAGATGTTTCTACCAATGGGCACGTGAGCTGAAACTGGAGACATACCATGTGGTCAGCTGAATATGACAGTGATTTCACAGATGATAATGAACAGCTCTGTAATAAACACTGGGCTGTGACTTAGTGACATACAGTAGGAGGTGTTGAGACAAACTGAGGCCTCACTGAGCAGAGCGACAGCTCTCACTGAGACACTGATGTAATTGTGGGGGTTGTAGGCCTCTGTGAATGGGCTACAGTTACACATGAAAAGTCCTAAGACAAGAAAGAACACAAAATATTTAATAAGGCATTTTTGATGCTGATTAACAAAACACATTCAAAATAACCAGAACTATTTAGAATTTATATTTAAAATCCATCTTTTTGTATAATAGTTTATAACCAGTTTAGATTTTTACAATTTAAAAAAATGAAAACACATAAAATTGCCTTGATATTGACATGTCATTTTTTTATGTCTTAATGCATGCTCAGTCATCCAGGTAAGGAAATAACCAAAAGTTGATTATCTTAATCTGGATGTAGCATTTTCAGTGTCATCTTTATTGTCACTGTCTTCTTTTTATATTTGTTTTTGTTGAGGATACATTCTTCTTTTCTTTTTGCCAGCTCCTGTCTATCATATTGTGACCGTGTCAGGTGGTGGGGAAGGCCTAATCCCTCATCTTCAATAGGCCCCCCCCAGCCATGGACAAACAAGGAGCCATGAGTACATCAGGCAAAGCCAGTGGGCTAAAACCCCCCAGTAAAATAGTCCGTCCCTCCGGCGTTCCATCACGGACATCACCGTCATCTGGTAAGAAGCTTTTGAAGAAAAAACCCCCCCTCAAGATTGTGTCTGTTTATTAAAATGTCTAATTCTGTCAACAAGAAGTGTCATGCTATCGTTTGGGCCGTTCTTAACTACAGAACTTATCAGTGAGTTTTCTCAAAGTGTGCTTTAGCAAAACATGGACCTCCATGTGTATTTCTGTATATAGTATCACTAAAGGTGCTTTTCTTTTTAATCATCTATATCCTTAAATCAGTCTTTGGATGATTGTTATTTGGATTCAGCATTATTTATGAAGTGAAAATAGAGAAAGACTACAAGAAACACAACATGTTTACAGCTGCAGATTTTTTTTAGAATACAGACTGTATTAAACAGATCATACTGACATTTCTCACCAGGTACTAATCCCCAAACAGAAGCATTTTTGGGGGTTAAATCTCCCTAGAACTTAATCTGTTCCTCGTACTACTATGGGTGCACCAGTCTATCAACTTTTCCAACTAATTACAATATATTTCTTTGGATTCTGACTTGGTGTTTATTAATAATTTAATAAATAATAACAAAACCAAGGAAAATCCAATAAATAAATTTGATTTTCCTTGGTTTTAACCTAATTAACCTAATTCTTTTTGGCAAAAAATGCACCTTTTAAATCTAACTATAAAAAAGTAATATTTAAGATGATTAACTATGGTTTATTAAAACATGATTCCAACTGCAGGTATCTCGAAGCCAGTTCCTCCTGAAAAGTCCCCTGGCAGTGTGACCTCACCAGTCCAAGATGGAAACACAGACTTTAAAATTGGAGAGAGAGTCTGGGTCAACGGCAACAAGCCTGGCTATGTGCACTTTGTTGGAGGGACGCAGTTTGCTCCTGGCCAGTGGGCGGGCATTGTGCTGGACGAGTCGATCGGGAAAAACGATGGCTCTGTGGCAGGGGTCCGGTACTTCCAGTGTGAGGACGGACGGGGGATATTCACGCGGCCTTCAAAGCTGTCCAGAACAGCACTGCCAGAGAAGGAGACGAATGGAGGCCGGGCCAGTCCAGCACAAGGAGTCTCCGCAACAAGCGAGGCAGCACCTGCTGGCACTACTTCATCTAGTACGTTTATTTGTGAAAACATAACAGGGTGGATAACTGTGCTTTACAGACCAAATATTTTCAGAGATGCCCTTATCAGCTTTGTTAAACTTAGGGAAAGGCTTGTATCTTAGCCTTAATGTTGCACAAGAGCCATGCTCCACTATCCTCTGTCCTTTAACATTGATTGCTAATTGTGTATCCAGCTCAGGCAGAGGACACAGGAGGACAGAGTAGAGAGACTGAGAGAGGCACCAGGGAGTTTATTTCCTACTTGCAGCATAAAGAGAAAAGTGTGTGTGTGTGTGTGTGTGTGTGTGTTTCTGACTAATGGGTTTAACAGCAGATGGTTAACATCCACTTTAGCCATTTGCTTATTCTTAAAATTCCCTTATAGTGGTGCTATATTTAAGAGATTTTTTTCCATGTTGTCAGGGTTACCTTTGGATGTAGTTTGAAATTTGAATGTTAGTTTGATCACTCAGGGTTACGTGGGCGACACACATGCCTCAAGGCCACCACAGAGGCTAGATTCCATCCCAGGCCATTTCCTGTGTGCTGTTCTCCCTGCTTTCTCTCTCTCTTTCTCTCCTTTCTGTCCTGTTCAACACTAACTAAAGTTCAACTAAAGTAAAATAAAAATTAGTTAGATAGTAGAAGAGAAGATAAACTTCTTAATGCCAAGTGTCTCTTGGCCCTCTTACCTTGAGTACCTCTCTCACAGTCATCGTCCTGCTTCAATTCAACTCACTGTTGCTGACTTAGAAACTTTGCCATAAAACTTTTTAAGCACCTAGCTAAAAGTATATAGGCGGTAGACTACTGCTCTGCAACAAGGATCTTGGTCTCTAAAGATACAAAAAAAAAAGTAACAAACCTTCTGCTACCTATAGCTTTTTCTCTGCCTTGTTATTTTAGGTGGACACACAGTTGATTTCACAGCACAGCCATTTTCTTTACCTTATGTTTACAATGAATTTGTCAAACAAATTTGCAGTTTTAAAATCAGACTTTGGTCACATCACCCCACCTCCAGCTTTAACAGCTTTAAATAAAGGCTGTTGATCACAGCCAGAGACTGGAAGAAAAAAAAATAGAATTTGGGATATCTCACAGTTTAGCTTCAGTTAAGATGTTCTTACAAAGTGACTGACAAATGTGGACCCTGTGATCGTTCTTGTATTTATTTTTTTCTTCTTCTTCCTTCAGCTCCAAGCACCGGCATTAAGACAGGCGGAGCACTTAACCGGATCCTGACATCCAGTGAGTCAGTGTCCAACCTCTCCGACCCAGATTCCACGAAGAAGAACAGAAGGGAGCTAAGGCTGGGAGACCGAGTGCTGGTAAGAGTGACTGAATCCACTGTGACGGCTGGCGTTAGGGCAGAATATCAGTGATGTAGACATGGAGCCTCACAGAAAAGTTTATTGCTACACTACTCAGTGCTTTTTTTTCCTAGGGCTGCTTGTATAAATGTTTCAGGTTCGATAAATTGCTTGCTTCACTTTGAATAATTCCACCAGATTGAAGCCCTTATTGTAAATAGAAAAAAGATAACATTTTTAGATAAAAATGAATTTGCATGAATTGTTTTGTGTGTAGGTTGGTGGCACCAAGGCAGGAGTGGTGAGGTTTCTTGGAGAGACAGACTTTGCTAAGGGAGACTGGTGTGGAGTCGAACTAGATGAACCTCTAGGCAAGAATGACGGCGCTGTAGCTGGAACCAGGTAAAGAGCACAGACAGATTTTTAGTTTTATTTGCATAGCAAATTTACAATACTCTCAGCTCTGTCTGTAGTACATATGACAGAGGATAATTGCATAATACAACCTGTCTCCTCCTCAGGTACTTCCAGTGCATGCCCAGGTATGGCCTGTTTGCTCCAGTTCACAAGGTGACCCGAATTGGCTTCCCCTGTACCACCCCTACCAAGGCAAAGAGCTCACGGAGGAGGTCCATTCTCAAAAGAAGCCCCAGCGCTTCCTCCATCAGCTCCATCAGCTCCGCCACCTCCTCAATCAGTGGGAAACCCAGCCGAGCAGGACTGGTGAGATATCTGGTTAATCTGCGTGGTGCATGATTTAACATCTGCAGTGTGATTCACGAGTGCTTGTGTCATTTTTACAGCTGACAGAAACGTCAGCTCGGTACGCTCGTAAGATTTCAGGCACCACAGCCCTGCAGGAGGCTCTGAAGGAGAAGCAGCAGCACATCGAGCAGCTGCTGGCAGAGAGGGACCTGGAGAGGTGCGAGGTGGCAAAAGCAACCAGCCATGCAGGAGAGGTGCAGCAGGAGCTGACTCTGCTGAGGAAATGCCGGGATCAGGTGAGACACATGAACAGTTCAGAATTTCAGAATAAATAAATAAGAAAATAAAACAATATCACATTTTGAAAATGGCATCAGTAGGTCAAACAAAGTGTGGTCTAACTGTCACCAACATCTGACAGCTTAGTGTAACTTACTTGTGATGTGTGCACTCATGTTAATTCTGTATGCCGCAGTACGCAGTGGAGATGGAGGCCAAGATGGATCAGCTGCGGTCGATGGTAGAAGCAGCAGATAGAGACAAAGTGGAGCTGCTCAACCAGCTGGAGGAGGAGAAGAGGTGGCTGACTTGACTTTACCTATAACCAGCTCCATATCTTTATTCTGAGACTTAAGAAAAGCTTTAGGCAAGAGTGGGAAGGAGTTCTTTCGAGGATGACTGGGGACAAAATATGGAATTACTAGATCTATAAAAAGCTTGGTTTTATAGTACACTGGTACCCAGGGCAGCTGGGCCAAAACAGTAGTGATGTGTTGCCTCTTCATTGTACCCTTTTAACTTCTAGCAGCTTTGTTTTGAATAAATTTTAATCAGGAAAAAGTATAATAAACTGACTAATACCTATATAGTACCTTTTTAAACACTCAAAGCTCTTTCTGCTGCAAGTCTCATTCACCCAGTCACACACAAATTAATTTTTACAGCGCTTTTATCTACACCTAAGCGCTTTCTCCCATTCACATAAGCAGACTTCATCCATTTGATCCACTGGGGGCAGCTTTGGGTGCAGTATCTTGCCCAAGACAGCAGAAATCAAAGACTGATCTATCACCTGGTTGGTGACCTGCGACCTCACCTGAGCCACAGCCTGAACCTGTACAAATATACACAGAGAGTTACATCTTAGTCCAGCTGAGAGGTGAGACAAGCACCCTCGCCTTGTAATCGGAAGGTTGCCGGTTCGAGCCCCGGCTTGGACAGTCTCGGTCGTTGTGTCCTTGGGCAAGACACTTCACCCGTTGCCTACTGGTGGTGGTCAGAGGGCCCGGTGGCGCCAGTGTCCGGCAGCCTCGCCTCTGTCAGTGCGCCCCAGGGTGGCTGTGGCTACAATGTAGCTGCCATCACCAGTGTGTGAATGTGTGTGTGAATGGGTGGATGACAGGTTGTGTAAAGCGCTTTGGGATCCTTAGGGACTAGAAAAGCGCTATACAGGCCATTTACCATTTACCAAGCATGGGAATCTTTTCCTAAGTCCTTAGGAAATTAAACTTGCTTTAATTTAGCAATTTCTTTTACATAGTAAAAGCTTTTTAGCTGTAGTTTGTGCATATGTCAACAGAGAATCAAGCACCCATTAAGCTTTTAACAGAGCAAAGATATTAGCAAAATAACTTTCATTTTGTTGTATCATTTAGTTAAGATAATTATTTTGCCATTTAGGATTTGCTGTCTTCTAAATAGTCAGTTTTTTTTCCGGATGAGCACTGTCAGTTGTAGCAGGTAGATCATTCTGATTGTCATCCACATGACAACGATACCGTCTGACCTGAAATGCATACTTTGGAAATGCCTCATTTAATACAAGAGGGAGATAAAGAGCAGCATCCTGTTTTCACAGAGAAGGTTCTCTCTTTGAAATAAGAAGGCTGCCAAAATGACTGGCAGTATCGGCTTGTTCCAGCTCTTCAGAAAATCTGTAGGGTTTTAATGACTGAGCCACTTGTGTGTTGTGATTTTAGACGATTTTATTATTGTCCCTGTTTGACAGGAAAGTGGAGGACCTACAGTTTCGAGTAGAAGAGGCATGCATCACCAAGGGAGACCTCGAGGTAAATGTGGTTACATAATCCGATTCTCAATTAAACATGTTCTCTCACTTGTCCTATTCACCCGAGCTGTCTGCCTCTCACTGATCAGGCTGATACTTCTTTAATGGAAGTCTGGTATGATTTATTGACTCCAACCAAGATGAATAGTTTATCATTACTGTCAACTCGGCGTTCCACTGAGTGACATGTTAGTTTGATTTTCACTGTGATTCCTGACTCTTTTTAATTCACAACTTAGGATGACACCATAAAGCTGATGATCATTTTCTTCCAAAAAATGAGAAGTTGATTAAATCAGACTTGCTGCATAATGTTTTTGCCTTTCCTGCACTCTATCAATCATTTACTTTTTTTTTGTTCAGACTTGTGTTCTATTCCTGCTCTTTTCATTTATTCATCTCAGATTTTTCTACCCATCTGCTGCACTTAAATTACCATTACTCTCATCATCTGTTTGTCCACATGTCTGTGTTTGAATGCCGCTTTTGTCTTCCCTTTTTTTTATGCCTTCATTGTGCATGTCTTTTCTGCATCTTTCTCACTCCTGGATTAGTCTTGTTCAATTGCTTCATGAAAGGGAAACAAAAGTATCTGAAAGAAAGAGATGATCACAGTAACTAACTCTGGATACTCCAAACAAGAAAGCTGAAATGCTGCAAACCATCAGTGCTTTTGTACTTCCTGGTCTTCTCTTTAAAGTCTTGCCTTCTTTCTGTCTGTGGCACAAAGCTGGCAGCTCAGTGTTCGCATTGGTGTTTGTTTTTCCTCTCTTCCTGCTCTCTTTTACTAACAGACGCAGACCAGGCTGGAGCATGCCCACATAAAGGAGCTTGAGCAGAGCCTGCTCTTTGAAAAGACCAAAGCTGAAAAACTCCAGAGGGATTTAGAGGACACTAGGGTAATTCTGGCAGTTGTAGTGCCACAGCCTTTTTCCCCCACTAGACTTAATAATCACAACTGGCATATACTGAAGGAACTGCAGCATGCAAACACCATGCAAATTGTCCACAGCCCTGCAATAGGGACATTAACATTTCATCTGCTTTGAGCTTTCCAGATAACCCATGTTTATTGTTTATACTAAACAATATACATATGTGCATAAAGCTTTATTAAAGGCTATTTTTTGGAGATTATGGTTCTTTAGACTTAGTTGGCTTTAAACAATAAGGGTGGAATCCTTCAACATTTTACTCCTATCAACAAATCCCATGAAAAGAGCAAAATCAAGCATTTTTGCATGATTTTGTCTCTGAAAGTAAGCCATCAGCATCCTCCACTCTATATCTCGGAGTGTCCTTGAGCAAAGTACTGAGTCACAAAACAGTGTGTCACAGCTGTGTGAGTGCTTGGTAGCTAAAAAAGTGGTGTAAAATGCAGTCCGTTTGAGAATACTGCCTTGTCTTTACCAGTAACATTATTACTCCTGTAGATGTCATCCTTCACAATAACTCACTGATGCATAGCATCAAAGAAACAAAGGATCAGTCTTGTTGTTTGCACAGATTTGCCTTTAATCATATTGTTTCTTTACAAACTTTACAAACTAACAATGTAGAGATGTCAAAAATATGTTGCTTTGCTTCATATACATTTTAATTCCGTATATTGAAACCAGTTCCGTGCCCTATCATTTTTATTCTGTAAATAAAGGTGTGTGGGCATGATTTCGCAACAATTTCAAGACAGTTAGCTCATTAAATCGGTGACGTTGTCCTTTCCCATATGTAGCACACAACAGGAGATAGTCCACTTCAGATGTGCTCTTATGACATGAACTGTTATGTTTGGACTATGTGATAGAGTATGCAGGAGGTGTAAACAAACATTATCAATGTAGGGGGCTGACAGATCAATCAATCAATCAATCAATCAATCAAAGCTTTATTCGCCACATGCAGGTTGCCCTGCAGTGAAATGGGACACCCCCCCCCGACCTCCCCGACCTTACACACACAACACAGACATTACATGGGGATACAAGTCGGAGATCGGTAGCATTACAGAAAAACACTGAAATATATATATACAGTGGGAAAGTACAAGAGGAAAAAAAGAGACCTCTACTCATGCTGTGCTTCCATGGTAGGACAGCATGAGAACAGGAAACAAAAAAACTCCAAAGTATACCTATTATGCTTATTGTCAATGTCATGTAATTATTCCGGGACTCTACTAGAGTAGTTTTGCATGATTCAAAGTTGAAAATAATTTATATTTATTTTATGCTGGGTCCTGTTGCAACTGGTCACTGTTTGAAACAATGTTAACAACTGTTTTGGTGTCCTTCTCTTTAAACCCAGCTTTTGTGCTCCTCACAAACCTTCTGTTTTAGACTGGGGGTCTGTACCTGAAGGCCCTGAGGTGATCATATTTCAGATATCTGATGTCTGAAACCATCAGAGCCCTGGAGAGCAAACAAATAGTATGTGTTTGAGCCTTTGTTGGTTATTTCACTACCTGACCTTTTCATGGGACTTGCTGACCTTAAGATAAATGTAGAAGACTCCCATCCTATGTCTTTTAACCTGAAGCTTTGACATATTTTTGATGAGTCAAACGCTTCTGTAGTAAAGCAATAAATTCCCATTTGGACCAGGTCTTGTGCTGGTTGTTGGAACTTTGCTGCAGATCTGCCACCTCTCTGTCCAGTGGGAGTGGTATTTTTTCTTATGAATGAATGTTTGGTTTGTTTTAGCCAGTTGTATAGCCAAAGTTCCTGATGTAATCTCTCTCTCTCTGTGCAAAGGTCTTAAGCCATCCCTCAACTCTTTATTATTAAAACAAGTGCAAACACACATGGAAATTCAGTATATAAGGCAAAAACAGAGCTTAGACCATTCTTACAAGCTTTAAAGCCAATATTTGGTATGACCACCTTTATTCTTCAACACAACCTGAACTGAAGTCTTCAGGAATATTTCTCTAGGCTTCCTGAGGGACATTCTAAAGCTCTAAAAAATTTTTTTTTACATTTTAAGATGATCACACTGCTTCAATATTGTAATGTTGAGTTCTGAGCTATGGGGAGGCCAAGCCGGGACTCATAGTGTTCCAGTGTGTGTGTATTGCATTGACAGTGTGTTTGCCATGCTGAAAAATATTGCATTGCCAATCAGATGGTTTCAAAGTAGTATTATGTGGTGGATCAAAATCCATTTATAATTACATTAACTTTGACAAGATCTCCAACATCACTGGCTGAAATGCACCCCACACCGTGACAGAACCTCCACCATGTTTTACAGATGGGTACAACAGTGAGTGTTGCTTTCTCCTGACCTCTTCTGTATGTAATATCAAGATTTTAAAATTTGGATTGATCACCATCCATAAGTCCAGTTATTGTGTAATTTACCATACTTAAACCTTTTCCTTCTTTAAGAATGGCTTCTTGACAGTCACCCTTCCATTGAGACCATTTCTGATGAGGATTTAGTGAACAGTAGATGAATTAACTGAAGGGGCATATGCATATGGGGCAGGGATAGCTCAGTAGGTAGAGTGGTGGCCCCATGATCGGAAGGTCTGGGGTTCGACTCCACTGAATGGCTACCCTGAGGTACCCCTGAGCAAGGTACCGTCCCTACACCCTGCATTGGTGGCTGCCCACTGCTTCACTGGGTGAATGGGTTAAATGCAGAGGAGCAATTTCCCTATGGGGACTAACACATAGAAAAAAAAATAAAAATCTCTCAAATCTTTCAGTCTTTGCTGGATTTTTTTCCTGCTTCTTATTGACATGACATTCAGATGCGTTACTTCTACTGTAGTTTTTGGGGCTGCCACTTCGTCTTTTCTTCTTTATGTGTCCATTTTCCCCAGAACATTTTTTTTTTGATCAAGGTCTTTTTATTGAACAAAGAATTGCTTCCAACAACAATTACGGCAATAGTAACAAACAGTCGTGTGCCCCCCCCCCCATCCCCAGAACATTTTTTTAACGAGACTATGTACATATGCCAAGATGTAGATATATGTCATATGCTAAGGTTTAAACTAATAGCTTTTTGGGAATCACGTTGTTTCAGTAATACAATTTTATGCCTATCAAACTGTTATTGTTGGCATTTTTTTATGGGTTCAGGTAAAGAAATTGAATAAATTGTGTTTTTGTGAAAGATTGCTTGGGATTTCCTTTGAAAATGGTGAGGTACAAAGAGTTGACTGAAAATGTGGGCAAAAGTAGGCAGAGTTCAAAGAAGAACTTTGAAAGATCTCCAGAATGCCTGGAGAAATATTGCTTAAGACCACCTTAAAAAGATCTAAGCTAAAATCTAAGCTTTGGAAGGTTTGGAAATGAGGGTTGGCTCAAGATTTTTGTACCTGTGAAATGAAAATGTAGAGAGGCTACTTAGTTTAGCTTAACATAAAGAATGTAAGCTGTCAGATGACACAAAGATTCAAATAATTGAATATGTATTCATTTCTACTCCTTGGTGCATTTTGCTATTTCTTTGTACCGCAACAGGCTATTTAATACCTACTTGGGTCAGCCACAATTAAATAGCAAAAGTGCAGATTGTTACGGGCTGTAGTGTTCATAACAGTAAATGTCATTCATTATAGGGCTTATGTCTAACACATTAATGTAAGGGAGAAACATTGTGATATGTTTTACTCAATTATATGTCATATTTAAAAATACATTCTTTTAAAAGTACAAATAAACTGATATTCAGTAAACCTTTACTTCTTAAAGCCAATAAAATAACCCATTTGATGTTCAGCATGACTATATTTTCCATTACCCCCAAGATAATGTCCATAATATACTTAACATTTATTCAGTCATGAAAATAAATACATTTGCCAAAAGAAAAAAAACATTTACAGGGGTAAATTGCAATAGCTGTAGTTGTAATAACCATTCTGTAGTGTCTATGACAGGAAGAAAACTCAGCGGTTCCCTTTAAAGCGCCATATCTTGAATATGAAGATTTCATACATTTCGACACCGTATTTAACAAGATGATAAAGTTGCAGAAACCGTCATAAACAGCAGCTTTTCGCTGTTTGACTGTGGCTGCTCCATCACTTTTTTCAGTCTTTATGCTAAGCTAAGCTAGCTGCTTGTTTTAGGTTCATGTCATGTCATGGTGACATATCTTACAGATTCTGTCTAATTGATTTCTGACCCAAGTAGATAACCGTAGGCTCCCTAATTAATTAGGTAAGTATGAAAAAGGAAAATGAGGCTGTAAACTAATAATTGAATTAATATGTTTCCCTTACTTATGTGACTGTAAAGTAAATGTCTTTGCATTTTGGACAAACCAAGCAAATGATTACATATGAGCAGGCACTACTAATCTCCTCTCTCATGCCCCCTGTCTCCTCTTTGCCCCGTAACCTCCTCATGACTCTGCTTTCTGCTCTAGGTGGCCACAGTTTCTGAGCGCTCCAGGATAATGGAGCTAGAGAGGGAGGTGGCAGATCTCCAGCTCAGGCTCCGGGCGTCCCAGCAGAAGGAGGATGCTGTGTCTCTGTCACAGCAACAAATCAGCAGCCTCAAGGCACAGGTTCAGTCTCAGGAGAAGAAGGTTTGTAGAAAGCACCAGAGAATTCTTGACTATGGTGTTTTGTTCAGCGATTCCTGTGCCACAACTTTATAAGAAACATAATTGCTTGTTGAATGTGTTAGTCATCATTTATCATTATTATTGAAATTGTTACATGATGGTAAAATCAGAAGAACTGGTATAACACTCTTCATTCAACCCACCGTCTAGTAAAATGTGATACTCTGTGTGGTCTGTTGAAGTTACTGTGATGATGCATAATTTATGGCTCTATACAGATATACATGTGTATGTTTTATGGTCTATACTGTGTGCTTCGAACAGATCAGTGAGCTGAGTGTTGACCTGGAGAGCAAACAGAAAGAGCTTCAGTCTGTACAGCAGGATAAGATGTCTTTGGAACAACAGCTAACCAGTCTGGTAAGAAGGAAAGAGACTCTGGACATAAATAAATACAATACACATGTTCAGAGAAATGACAATGTACTGTAGCGCATCTTTGAACTTGTATACTTTACCTGTCTGTCAATAATAATGGCTTTTAAAGTGATACATCTAAGAGAACGTAGACGAACATAGCTCTTTGTTATGATAACTCACATTTACATAATTTTTTACATTGGTCTCAATTATTAATATCTAACTTATTGTGAACTTTTCAAGCAAGTATAAAAATATAAAAGGCCTAAAAACATTAATAGAAAATTATTTAAAATGTACAGGTTGGCTGACATAAAAGCAGAGTGTTGCGTTTTTATATATATATATATATTTGCACATATCTTGTCATCCTGATCTATATATAGATCAGGATTAAAATTATTTTTAAAATCTTGATTGTATATTATTTTTTTTCTTAATGCAATTATTGTGATTATTTTAACCCTTCAAAGCCTGACCCATAAAATAATTTTATTAATTTTATTGATTTTTTTTAAATAAACTGTTTATTAAATCTTGTGACAAATGAACTGCTTTTAGTTGTTCATTGTTAAAAAACTACTTCTTAGTTGTTCATTGTTAAAAAACTACTTCTTAGTTGTTCATTGTTAAAAAACTACTTCTTAGTTGTTCATTGTTAAAAAACTACTTCTTCAGCTACCTCTGGCGTACTGTATGAACTCAACAAACACTACTTACTGACTTACTGACTTATTCAGTTCGCCTACTGACAATAGAATAGAATAGAAAAGAATAGAATAGAATAGCCCTTTTATTGTCATTGCACATGTACAATGAAATTATGGGTGCTCCACCCCAACTGTACAGGAATGCAGGAATAAATAACAGACAGGAGAAATATATACAATACAATATATACGCTATACAAGAGGAATGTATACAAAACAATAGAGAGGCAGACATTGCAGAAGAAAGTGCTTGGAAGCAGTGCAAAAGGTCTGAGTGTGGTGTCAGGATATAGAGCACATTTAACTCCTAAATTTGATCTTTTAACTTTGAACAGCAATTACTACTTTGACATAAGGCCTGTCTCATCAAAATAGCTGGAGGAAGTATTGGTGTAGACGTTTAAAAGGTGATCATCTAGCTGGTACACAGGATGAATAGATTGTGACTGTTTAGTAAGTGAATATTATATTGTCATTGCTCACAAGTGTGCATATATAGTAAATGAAAATGCCAGACCTATTGGGAAACATCTCTAAAGATTCAAAGACAAAAAAATTAATATGTTCCATATGGAGCAAGCATGAGGAACACATGGAAATAATTGTGCTGTATAATAAAAGAAAGAAATCCTCAGTAACTGTTGCTGTATTGATGTACAGGGCTATTTACTTTGAGTAAATATGCAAGTGGATATTTTGGCAATTGTGCCAAAAATCAAGAAACATGAATCAATCACAAAAATAAAAGTTACAGTTATTATAGTAATGTTTTGGTCTGAATTGTCACAATAATGTTACAGAGTCAGTCATTTTGCTATTATCACTGACAGAAAAGCAAGAACATGAGTTGTGCTTAAACTCTTCAGCACATTTTCCAAATGAAGTGCATGTTTGTGCGGGTGTCTCGTGGAGCTGTAGCTTCGTCTTATTTAATCACTCTGTGTTTTTGTTTGTGAGGATCGTTGAGAGCAGAATTTCATCCAAAAACCTTGTTTGCTTTCTGGAGCCAGTCATTATCCCCTGGTTAGCTCAAGGTTCAAGAATGCTGCTGTTTGAGTGATTAGCTCGTGGTCAAGCTGATGCCTCTCCATTTCAGAGAGAAAAGCTTGAGACAGCTGAGGAGGAGAACAAGAAGGCAGCAAAGACAATGCAAGGTAAACATATCTGCTGTATATCTGCTACCTTTATTCTCATTTCAGTGTGTGATTTGTTAAAGCTGCTATCTCTTTTCTGTTAGGATTGGAGCAGATTGTGGAGTGTTCAACGAAAGACTACCAGACCCTGAAGGAGGAGAATCAGTCCAGGGAGAAAGAGCTGAGAGCCCAGCTGACACAGGTAGGTGTGCACATGTACAAAAATACACTTATTCAAGAGGTTCAGTTTGACGTTACTCACTTTTGATTTTCATTAATATTTTCTTTTGTTGTTGTTTTTTTACTGTATTACATTTACAGTATACCAGAGTTTAAATAAAGCGTCGTATTTTGGTTTTTGTGTGTTTTGCGTCACACCACAAATGGCACTGGTTCCACAATTTTTCTTTTCTTTTGTCTTCATTTTCTTTTTCTTTTTTATGTATCATCTCACTCCTCCTTTCTGTGGCCCTATTCATCTTCCATACACTACCATTGGATATACAGAGTATATACAGAATTTAGATTGCATGTTGTATTTTTAAACCATCTGTTCATTTGACTATAAAAGCCCATACCCACAATCCAAACATTTGTCCTAACACCATACAAACAAAAAGAAATATTTAGAGTAATTTCATAGTAATTCTCTAGAAAGAAAAGTTGGCAAGATATTAACCCTAATTCGATACAAATTTCTGATAAGTAAAACGGTTCATTTAGCAATTTATTGTGACTTCTTATCTTGGTAATTTGGGCATTTTAATTGAATTTATGAGTGAAATTGTACATCTTGTAATTTCTTATAATTTTATTGCCATGAAATTTTTTTTGTGTGTGTGTGTCTGGTGTGTTTGTTGTGTTTGGGGACAATAAAGTTACCATTGACTATTCACAGTATTATTTCCATAAATTTTGAGAGGAATTACAGTTGTTGCTTTTTTTAGAGAGATAGTTTTAAAGAGCTATCTGTTATTGTTAAAGTAAGGCACACTACGTATGTGGGCGATCTCTAGCCATATATACTGTATAAAACGCAATTAGGTGGAATAACCACGCCCATATAGGCAACAATTTTCAAGATGATGGGGCAACATGGCGGCTTCCGCAACGTGGCACCTGCTCCAGATTATGAAACAGTGCTACAACAATTCCTATAGAAGACTTTTGTTCCTTTACTACTTTTACATTCCCAGTGGTCTCTTTTTTAGATTTTTTGGGGTTTTTTTTTAAACATCAAACATGGTGGGAGAAAATGAAAAATGAAAAACTAGACTGTTTTTCCTGCTAATGAATATCTGCTGAATGCATGTAGTCTTTTTTTCTACTGCTTTTGTTTTTGAAAGTAGACCGGACAGTTTGCAGTTCTTTTTTCCCTAAAGCCACAGCTTTCAGACTTCTGTTCATGCTTCAAGAAACCCATTAGAGATTAATGTAAGGGTGAAACAGCATGAGAGTCTTGAGGCTGACTTTCCTTTTTTAGCCAACATCCTTAATGAGTTCTAATCGCTCTGTTCTATTAATAGAGTACTGTTTTTGAGTGCTAATATGACTCTGTTTGACTCTGTACTTAGTTTTTTTTTTAAAGTGGTTTGTTTAGTTATCCAAAACAGAAACAAGACTCAGGGAAGGTGTATGCATTAACTCTACAGTGACTAAATCTACCACAGTGTGTGAGGTGCACTCTGCCTGGTAGCTTTTTTAACTCAAAGTGTCATTTAGTGAATAATTAATGAAAAATTTTGTATGTGAACTTTTTTATACATCCAGAGGGAAAATAGGCTTGTTGTTAAACATGTGCATTTCTTTCTGTACTATAACATACATCTCATGCTGGCTGCATTATATTTTCCAGGCCACTGAAAAGTCAGAGAGGTTGGCCTTTTCGCTGGAGCAGTTGACCCTTGACAATAGGACACTGGAGACACAGGTGGGCTTTCATTGGAAATATGTGGGATGATGTTTATCACCTGTGGATACTGTGGATACACACTGCTGTGACTGAGGTCAACACAATGGTTTTACAAGTTCTATTCTATCCCTTGTTCTTGTTATCTTCTCTTTCACCAGTGTTAGCTGTTAGCTGAGCCCTGCCTCCCTGATAGTTACTGCACTTGCTATGCTACTTTGTGTGCACTGATCAGAGTTTACAGAATGGTGGCAAAATTACCATAGAAATTCCAATACGTTCAAGCTGTTTCAAACCAAAGCAGTTTCTTATTTTGAGCCATTGATTGTGTCACCCGACATGATGACTGTCTCTAACAGATGTTCTTGGCTGCAGCTAATCAATCAGTTGAAAATATTTTCTATAGCTGTCTTTATGTTATTGTTTTTATTTTTTATGAAAATGCAAAAATGTTGCATATAGGCTTGATGGTGACAAGATCGAGGCGACAACGTTTCCCAAAATAGCTTGTAAAAGCATTGCCAAATATATTTTAAAATAATGTGTTTCATCTTCAACATTTAACGGATTCCTCTATTAATAGACTTTTGGAATGAAGACTAACACCGTTTGGCTGTTGAAACAATATCTCACATTAGCCTTTATGCTCCAGCAACTGCAATTGCTTGAGCATAAGCCTTTTGTAGGGCAGATCAGAGCTGCTTAACTATATCTTGTGCTGCGTTCCATTTGAAGTAGGAAGTCAGAAATCCTACCTTTTAGTTTAAATCAACTGGAATGTCCCCTTGAATTGTGCTTCTCACTTAAAAAGTGGGAGAAGCCTCACCAACCCCAACTTTGTAACATAGGAGTAGTTCATGTAAACATGAGCAAAACTGTGTTAAACAGTGTGCCCTCCAGATCTATTTTTTTTTATTATTATTATTTACACTTTTTAAAAAATTATTTACCCTTTATTTTAGTTTTCATAATAATTAATTATATGTCCAAATTGAAATGAAATGCCAGTAATTCTTCATGAATCTAAGAATTTAATTAATTTTAATCTGTAGTCTCTGGCAGATTTATAACCAGTAACGAACAGTCAAAGCTACACCAGCATCTAAGCATTGGTTCTTTGTGGTTGCTGTTTGTTGCATGAAATTAAAATAGCAAAAACTATCAACTATGACACAGTGGATGTGTTAGTTGTAAACAGGAATTCCTTTAATTCTTAAATTATGCATTAGAGCAGCAAACACTCTTTAATCCATCTCTGACCCTTTGCTGTTGGTATTGTACAGTTTCAGTGTCACATGCTTGTGTTCTACTTCATGTCGCCACAACCCCGTGAAAGAACCCGCACATGCACATCAGTTCAGCTTCTGTAGCCTGCAGGGTTTTTGTTACATATTCACATCAACATTCCCACACCGACCGCATGTGATTGGGCCAGTCATCACATTTAATCAGCCACCCATGAAATACTACAGTCCATCCCTCTTGTTGTATTTCCTCCTTCTTTGCTTTCCTGTGTTTGCGACTTGCACTTTCAGCTGTAACCATTATATTTTTGTCATCTTATACTCAGCAGCTCTCCTCCGTTTGCACTCCACATGCAAAGGATCATTCACTGCATGGCTCTTGCTCAAATAATGCACGTTCATCTTTGCTATTTGTCAGCTTGCCTGTGGGCTCCAGATGGTGAATCTCCTCACTACAAAAGAAATACACAGGAGATTAGAGTAGGAAATGAAAAATGAACATAAACATGCTTTATGTTTGACATAAACTATATAATTTATTGGCCCAGCATTTTTCCTACACACTTTGATCAGCACTGCAACTGTACTCTCCCACTGTTTTACAGAGAAATACTGAATGAATTTGAACACAACTTCCTTTCTATACCGTTTGTTACTTGATGAATTCATGGATAATTAAAATACCATCCTATTGGTGTAAGCAGAAAAAGAGACACTTAAATTAACATTATAAGAACATGATTACATATATAATCAAAGTTGTATGTGCATACTGATGACAAGCAAGTTATGGCTTGTTTCTAAACCCCTGTTACTCCAGTGCCAAGTTTATATACTTAAGTCAACTTAAACTGAGAATATAATATAACACCAGCTTGGCATGATTTAAGTCCTCTATGACCCCTGCCTAATCTCCATTTTTTTCACTCCTCTCTCCCACTCTTTCTCTATGGGAAGTCTGCTTTCACTTTCTCTCTGATTCTCTAAAGAGGGTTTTATGGTCCAGGAGAGGTAGCATGTTTGCTCTCCGCTTAGCTATATTTAACTACAGCTAAGCTAAACAGCAACACTAGATATGAAAAAACACTTGAAAAAGACAAAAAATAACCGAAATATCGTGTGCTTATGAAATATCCGTAGTTTTAGTTTTTGTCAGTGTGCTTAAATGTGAAGATAGCAGGTTGCTGCAGATAATTGTTGTGACTGAAATATCGGCACTACATGAAGTGTTATGTTTGTATTATAATACATATTCTAGACTTCTTAAGTGTTGTAAAAATACCACCCACATTATAATAATTGAAAAGCTAAAACTAAGACTTAAACATAAAACTACAATGTTTCTGCTAATCATTCATCAGCAAGTTTAAATTGACAATTCAGTGTGTTATTCTACCATTGAGACATGTTGAGCTTTGGAAATGGATACATATTTTTAGCTAAGGTCCATTTGGTGTCAGTTGTCTCTGAGAGGACGAAGGATCCCTAATAATTTAATAAATATACAAGTTAAATTTCTACATAGATTTAACTACGTAATATTTTCTATTTTAATATGTTGTACATAATATTTTATGCAGTTTTCAGAAAATATTTTTTGTTAGTCATTCTAAAGGTTAAAATCGAATTTTACCTTGTTGGTTATTTATGTTGCAAATGTTAGTCATTTTGAAGTTACATAATTAGAACTGTGAGCACTTAAAATAAGCACCTCCTGCACAGTTCAACTCCTCTTTGTGTAAATTATTTAAGCTTTTATCGATGACGTTTTAATTCAGCATAAACGTTACATTTTGGATGCTTTCTTTCTGTTTGCCACCACTGCTGAATTGTAGCATGTATCAAATTCACGTGTGTATATTTTAATTCCAAATTTTTTGGTAGCTGCAGGAGGGAGAAATCTGACTTTGTGCACTACAACTAACACTCATGTGATCAAGCAATTATTCAGCAGAGATGCTCTTACGTCTAGCTCCCTTCTCCACTCACCCATGATGCTGTAGGTAGTGATGTAACACTGCACATGTCAGAGTGAGCTGCTGTGTGTGTGTGTGTGTGTGTGTGTGTGTGTGTGTGTGT